AAATTTGATCCCCAATGTGGCAGTATTGGAAACTGATTGAGTCGTGGGGGCAGATCCCTCATGAATGGATTAATGCTCTCCCTGGGGGAGGAGGGGCAGTGAGTGAGTTCCTGCTCCATTAGTTCCTGTGAGAGCTGGTTGTTTCTAGGACCCTGGCGCCTCCTCTCTCTCTCTCTCTCTCTCTCTCTTGCTTCCTCTCTCACCATGTGATCTGCTTGTACCCACCGGCTGCCTGCCACTTTTCTGCCATGAGTAGAAGTAGCCTGAGGCTGATGCCAGACACAGCTGTCCCAGAATCATAAGCCAAATAGACCTTTATTTATTTATTTATTTATTTTTGTCTTTTTTCGTGTCCAGCAACGGATCGCAACCCTCAGTGTTGCGCCCACACCTCGCTCAGCCAGTGAGCGGGAAGACCTTTCTTTATAAATTACCCAGTCTCAGGTAATTCTGTTATAGCAACACAAAACGGACTAAAACAAGTGGCATTTAATATCAAAAATTTTGAGGTAAGCCTTCCAGTCAAGATGGCAGAATAGATGGTCCCCGGCATCACTTTGTCTGACAAATCAACCAATTTACAACCATTAAAAAGCAATGACAGCCATGCTGGGGCTGCTAGAGCTCATGGGAAGAGGAGGAGAGACCCATGGAGTTCATGAAGGCAGGAGAAGCCATGATGAGACAAAGAAAGCATCACTCCCACCATTTTGAGCCCCAGCCACTTTAAGTCTGGACCTGGTGAATACACAGAGTGAGAGATGTCAAAAGCCACAGCTGTGCCCTTTGTATGAAGTTGCTTAAAAGTGGCAGGGGAGAAGAGGGACTTAGTGTCCCCCAGGCCAGCAAGACCACTAACAGGGTTTCTGTGGACCAATATAGAAGGGAGGAGCCACAGACAACAGACAAAAGTAACCAGTGAGAGGCCAGTGAGTCATGACAAGGGGCCAGTGCATGGCCTGTCCTATGGGAAGTGTTTGGAGTTTGGGCAGTTGGGGACATGGCCCACCAGGGAAATACTGGTGCACAGCATAGACAGCTGATCTGCTCTCCAATCAGCACTGGATCATTCAGTGTAGACTGGTCAGGAATACAGAATAGCTAGGGTGCAGTTTGCCAAAAAGACTCAGGTGTAGACCAGAGTTTCCACACAACCCAGGTGAACCAGACCTCACGAGAACAGGAAGTACATACAAGGTCAACCATTAAAACGTGAGCTGCACAGAAAGCCCTCCCCAGGGAATCAGCAGCAAAGCAGTGATTTAGCTAAACAACAGGGCTCAAGTGCTGGTCCCCACAGGAAGTTCCTTCATTTTGGAAGTAAGCCAAAGACAACAAATTAATTCCAGTGCAGAGCTTAAGTGGTGGGTACAGTGAGTAATCCAACACAGAAGTGAAAGAAAAAACAAAATATCCACAGATCAGAGACAAAGTTTGATCTTTACTAGTAAAGGTCTAACACCACCAAAGAGCACCTATAAAACCTAGAACGGCTGGAAGCCCCTGGGCTCCCAAGCCAGGGAGGTGGGAGGGCTGAGGGCCTCATCCATGCCCAACCAACATCCACAACCAGCCCACTGATAACCACTGAGCCACCACAGGAAGCACCCTGAGCCCCTAAGCCAGGGCATCAAAGGGCCAAGGGCCTCGGCCACACACTCCCAACATCTGCATCCAACAAAGCCACCACAGGAAGTGCCCTGGGCTCCTGATATGGGGCTGTGGAGGACCAAGGGTCTCAACCCCCCCCCCCACAGACATCCATAATGAGCCCAGTAATGGCCACTGAGCTGCTGCAGCAAGCACCTTGGGATCCTGAGGCAGGGCTCTGGGGTGCCAAGGGCTTCAGCTATGCCCCCCCCCCAAAATCCATAACTGGCCCAGTGACGACCACTGAGGAAATGCTGGTAGTGCCCTGAGATCCCAAGCTGGGACAGTGGAGGGCCGAGGGCCTTGGACACACCTCCTAACATCTGCAACCAGCCTAGTGATGACCATCGTGCCACCACAGGAAGTGCCCTGGTCTCCCAATCTGGTGCAATGGGGAGCCAAGGGCCTCAGCCACATTCCCTGGACATCAAAACCAGCCCAGTGACAACCAGTGAGCTGCTGTAGGAAGCATCCCAGGCTCCTGAGCTGGGGCAGTTGGGGGCCAAGGGCTTGACCCACACACCCTGATATCTGCATCCAGCCCAGTGACAACCCAGCCACTGCTATAAGCCCCATGGTGTCACCTGAATGAATGAGGGAGGCCACAGGCTTTGATCATGCTCCACTTCATTCCCCCTCTTCCCACCCTATTTCCCCTCCCCTTCTCCTCTCCAACTGCTCCACAACATCTTATAATGAGGCATGGAGCCAGGGGAACCTGAACACAGCCATAACTAGGCAAGCAGCTGCCACTGTCTGGTCCCTGCCAAGGTCCAGAGGCCGGAGCTAGGGAAAGCGGAACCAAACTGGAACTAGGAAAGCCACCACCACCACCCTGGGCCACACCAGGGTACTATGGTATGGAGTCAGGGGAAGCTGAACCCAGCCACAACCAGGTATAGAGAATACCAAAAACATGATTTTCATGCAGGTGGCCCCCATAGCCACAATTGCCATGGCTACTGCAAAAGAAGCTATGCTCTATAGCAGCAGTCACAGCCACTCTGCAGATGGTACACCAGACTCAACTGCATTGACACAAGAGGCACCAGCAGAGACACACACACACACAAATAAAAAACACTCTCTCCACAAAGCACACTACAGAATAAAAGCATCTAATTTATGATAACAGGACTTTATCACATCTGTCTCAGTACTGGATAGATCTATGCAACAAACCAACAGAGGATCAGTTAATCTATCAGATGGAGAGAACAAATCTATGGTGACTAGAAGGGGGAGGGGAAAGGGAAGGGTAGAGATTGGATAAGGGGCATAAAGAATAAGTATGATTTGTAACACTGAATAGGATAATAAAAAAATTCTGATGTAAGTCACACTATTATCCTATGCATAAGTATTTCCTATCTGTAGTTGTGCTGGCTTCTATCAAGATAAACTTTTAATAAATAATACTCATATGCATAAATGCAGCATACTTGGGCCTGTTTTGTGCATTGCAGGCTGTGTAGCAGCATCTCTGGCTTCTTTCCACTAGACCTTTTAACTTCCAGTTATGACAACAGAAATGTCTTCAGACATAGCCAAATGTCCCCTAGCAGGCAATATCCCCACTCATATTTAACTGTTAGTCAAGACTTTTAAAACAGTTTTGATTCTACATTTATCAATCCTATTTGAAAATTTGCATTAACATTACATAAATTGATAGTTTTTTCTTTTTTTTCTAAAAGATGACCGGTAAGGGGATCTCAACCTTTGGCTTGGTGTTGTCAGCACCACACTCAGCCAGTGAGCAAACCGGCCATCCCTATATAGGATCCGAACCCGTGGCCTTGGTGTTATCAGCACCGCACTCTACCGAGTGAACCATGGGCCGGCCCATAAATTGATAGTTTTCACTTCAAATTATCTGATATACAAAAATGGAAGTTATGTTGAAAGCTTTGACACATTAAAGACACTGATGAAGATAAACTTAGTGTCACTGTTCAATGAGAAGTCCCTGCCTGGTAAGGTGTTCCATATTTATTGCATTGTTTCTCCCCATAATTGAATTTTCCCATAAGCAGACTTGGGTGTAAAAGGTAACAATACAGGTTTCTCTTCTGGGTGAATATTCTCATATTCAAGAACTGGTAACTTCTCTCAGAAAGTTCATAAAGTCAGTTAGCACAGTGGGCTACTTGTGTTGTAACACAAAGAGATAACACATGAAACGGCAAACCATAGTAAGTATTTCTTCCGTAAAGTATGAATAGAGGATTTGGGGATAGAGTTGGAAAGAACTAGTTTCTTCAATTCAATGTCTTAAATTGTAGTAAATTTCTCCCACCTATGGCCCCTGACTCTACCCTAGGAGTCATCTGCCCTTCAGTCCCAGAGAATGAGAAATTTGGCACAAATGCATGAACACTTTTATTGCCTGGCCTGGAAGTAATGTTATGACCTATATCCATGCTCCCCTGAACAGAGCTAAATTATATGTCCACACACAATAATTAAAGGCTAAGATTGCATGCATGTACAAAAGAAAAAAAGGTGTTTTTAGAAAATACCCAGTCTAATCCATGCAGAATTTCCCCCCAGTGTAAACTATCTCATGCTTGCTGCAGCATGAATTATTTTTGCTTTACTTTTCTTTCTTTCTCTTTTTTTTTTTTCTTCCCCCAGTGGCTGGCCAGTACAGGGACCCATGGTTTTATCAGCACCATGCTCTAAACAACAATACACTAACTACAGCCAGCCCTGTAATTGCTGATAAAAGACGCTTTCACAACTATTGACCCCCTTCTATATTTGAGGGTTGCACATCTGCTGATTCAACCACTTATAAAAATCAAAAGAAAAAGATGAAACTATAATAAAAGTAAAAGACAACACAGTATAACAACTACTTACAAGGAATTCCTTCTGTATTCAGTGATATAAATATTCCCCTCAAGCTGGAAAAGACACAGATAAAAGCTCATAGGTAATATAGGAATACCACACCATTTATAGAAGGGGCTTCATCACTTGCAAGTATTTTCAACAACAGGGGCTCCTGGAACCAACCTCAATACCAAGCAACAGCTGTGCATTTATAGGCCTTCTTCTTGGTGTGAGTTCTCTGATAAAATGTGATGTAAGATTTATGGCAAAACCTTCTCCCTCAGTCATTACATTAATTGGGATTTTCCCATATGTGAGTTTGTTCATGTCTATTATGGTGAGTTCCAATAAACTTGTTTCCCACATTCTTTACATTCATACAGTTTCTCACCTGTGTGACTTCTGATGACTGCTGAGGTTTGACTTCCAATTAAAAGTTTTTCCATTCTTTACATTCATATGGCTTCTCACCTGTGTGATTTCTCTGATGAATGCTGAGGTTTGACTTTCGGTTAAGTTTTTCCACATTCTCTACATTCATATGGTTTCTCACCTGTGTGAATTCTCTCATGCTTCCTGATGTGTGACTTGTGGGCAAAAGCTTTCCCGCAGTCTTTACATTCATATGGCTTCTCACCTGTGTGAATTTTCTGATGAATGCTGAAGTATGACTTTTCGTTAAAAGCTTTTCCACAGTCTTCACATACATATGGTTTCTCACCTGTGTGAATTCTTTGATGACTGCAAAAGTGTGACTTTCGGCTAAAAGCTTTTCCACAGTCTTTACATACATATGGTTTCTCACCTGTGTGAATTCTCTCATGCCTACTGAGTTTTGACTTTTCCCTAAAAGTTTTTCCACAGTCTTTACATACATATGGTTTCTCATCTGTGTGAGTTCTCTGGTGAATGCTGAAGTACGACCTGTGGGTAAAAGCTTTTCCACAGTCTTTACACACATATGGTTTCTCACCTGTGTGAATTCTCTGATGAATGCTGAAGTATGACTTGCGGGTAAAAGCTTTTCCACAGTCTTTACATACATATGGTTTCTCACCTGTGTGAATTCTCTCATGCTTCCTGATGTCTGACTTGTGGGCAAAAGCTTTCCCACAGTCTTTACATTCATATGGCTTCTCACCTGTGTGAATTCTCTCATGCCTACTGAGTTGTGACTTTTCCCTAAAAGCTTTTCCACAGTCTTTACATTCATATGGCTTCTCACCTGTGTGAATTCTCTGATGAATGCTGAAGTATGACTTGCAGGTAAAAGCTTTCCCACAGTCTTTACATTCATATGGCTTCTCACCTGTGTGAATTCTCTGATGAATGCTGAAGTACGACTTGTGGGTAAAAGCTTTTCCACAGTCTTTACACACATATGGTTTCTCACCTGTGTGAATTCTCTGATGAATGCTGAAGTATGACTTGCAGGTAAAAGCTTTCCCACAGTCTTTACATTCATATGGCTTCTCACCTGTGTGAATTCTCTCATGCCTACTGAGTTGTGACTTTTCCCTAAAAGCTTTTCCACAGTCTTTACACACATATGGTTTCTCACCTGTGTGAATTCTCTCATGCTTCCTGATGTCTGACTTGTGGGCAAAAGCTTTCCCACAGTCTTTACATACATATGGTTTCTCACCTGTGTGAATTATCTGATGAATGCTGAAGTGTGATTTTTGGCTAAAAGCTTTTACACATTCATTACAATCATATGGTTTCTCACCTGTATGTGTTCTCTCATGCCTGCTGAATTCTCCCCTGTGATTAAAAGTTTTTCCACATTCTCTACATTCATATGGTTTCTCACCTGAGGTGTGAGTTCTCTGATGAATGCCAACGTGTGACTTTTCACTAAAAGCTTTCCCACATTCTTTACATTCACCTGATTTTTCACCTGTGTGAGTTCTCTGATGACTGCTGCAGTGTGACTTTTGGAGAAAAGCTTTGCCACAATTACTGTAAAAAAATTTCTTATATTCTTTACATGGTTTCTCATTTGTGTGAATTCTCTGATATACAGTGAGGGCAGACTCATGGTAGAAAAATTTTGTACATTCATTACATCCATCTGGTATTTCACCTGTGTGAATTCTCTCAGGATGGCTGAGAAGTGAATTCTCACAAAAGCTTTTTCCACAATTAATACTCCCATAGTACATTTCTCCTGTGTCAGTTCTCTGATGCATTGTAAGTTCTGACTTCTGACAAACAACTTTCTCATGTTCATTATGACCATTAAGCTTATCCTGTGTAGGTGTTCTCTGATGGGAGGAAAGGTATAATTTCTTAATACCAGCTTTCTCACATTTGGTATATTTATAGTGTTTCTCTCCTGTGTGCATAATCTGATGTTTAGTGAGTTCAGACTTCTTATAGAACATTTTCCTGCATATATCACATTGGAAAGTTTTCCTTTCTACCTGATTTATTTTCTTGGCAATGACAGCTGACTTACCACAGCCTTTCCCATATTCACTATAATTATAGGTGGTCTCATCCATATGAATCTTTTCATGTGTAAATATTATTGGCTCTGTGTTGGAGGATTTCCCTTTTACACTGTATTCTAAAGGCTGCTTCCCAGTTTGAATATTGCGATGATGACTGAGATGCTCATGATGTCTGGGCAATTTTCCAGTTATATGATGGTCATCAGGTTTTTCTCCAGCAGGCACCTTATCAGGCTCTCTAGGAAGAAGTGCATTCTCACATATGTAAAACTCCTGAAGTCCCTTTCCTAAATAGTTTCCATCATTTATAATCAGATTTAAAACCTGATATGAATTCAAATAGAATGATTTCCCTAACACAGCTCTCTCTTCAGCTGATGGGTTGCTGTTGGTGATTACAATTTGCTGCAAGCATCTACCATGACTTTCTTGGTTCCTCTCCATGAGGTCATCATCTATCTGGACATCTGAAATGAGAAAAATACAACTAATAATGAACCACACATCACCACATTTCATTGATTGCTCAAGTAAAGGTATAGAAGTGCCTTCAATCCTTATAACAAAAGGTTATTTTAAAAAATCAACAATGGATGTTGGTTTCATGAGTTTATGGAATTTTTTCCTACTCACAGTGTAATATTGTACTGATATATTTTCTAATGTTATGTCATGTTTTCTCTTTTTCTTTGTTAAAATTTTTAAATTTTAATGTATGAACAAATATTTAAGGATTTTTTTTCTGTCCTTTTTTGTGACCGGTAAGGGGATCGCAACCTTCGGCTTGGTGTCGTCCGCACTGCGCTCAGCCAGTGAGCGCACCGGCCATCCCTATATAGGATCTGAACCCGCAGCGGGAGCGCCGCTGCGCTCCCAAGTGCTGAACTCTCCCGAGTGCGCCACAGGGCCGGCCCTATTTAAGGATTTTTATTTTCTGCCTACTTGTAGTTTTCAACTAAACACCTTTCATTTCTAAAGAAATGAAACATCCATTATTGATTTTTTTAAAAAAATCTTTTGTTACTAGGATTGGAAGGCACCATTTTCTCTGTTTCATTTTTACAACAATGGGTGTCTCCTACTGCTATTTTTTCATTATTTCACTATGAAAATAGCTAGGTTTTCCTTCATCAGCTACTTTCAGGTACAAAAGTGAGCCAATTTTTTATCACATATGCAGGAACATGGCTGAGGATAAGGATTTTGCATTTATGTTTATATGCTTTACACTTCTCCCTCAGAAAACGGCTATAGGAATGTGGAAGTTTTTCAAAGGATAAAATATCCTTTTCTCCACCCTAGATAATGATAGCTTCCTCCAAGTTTTCATTTAACATGACTTCCTCTGCTTCTCATACACCATTACAATAAAGGAAATGTCAGTTCTCCACCCTAGACACCCACTTCTGTTCTAAAATATTTGGTTCTGCATCCAAGGCTGTTCCCACCATCTTGGAAATATGTTCTTTTGACTCCTTCTGAAATCAAGATGTATTCTATTCCCAATTTCTGGCACATGGACAACCACCTGATAATTCATTTCTTTTGAAAGCTTTCGTTTTTTGCAGTGAAGTTTTCGTGGTCTTCTATTCTCATAAAATGACTGTCCTGCACATTTCTCATTTTAGTTTTTTTCTGAATGATTTCCACAAAGAAAACAGAAAAATATTAACTTTGAACTCTACTCCCAATCAACAATCTTATCCCCTCAACATGGAACCCTTAGTTCACATGGCCTTGACACCCAGAATCTCTTGGTTTTCCTTCAAAGTCAAGGACCACCCCTTTCCATTCTCCCATGAAGGGTTCTCTTCCACTTCATGATTTTTGATGTGGTTGTACAAGGCTCAGTGCTCTACCTCTTTTCCTATTTTCTTAGTGAATTGCTATGTGATACCCTGCACTACTTTGGAACTCTGTGAAGAGTCCCCACAAGAACAAAGGCCCTCACCAGATGCAACCCTCTGAACTTGGAATGCTGAGACTCCAGAACAGACTTGTAAGAAAGATTTTGTCTTCATAAATTACACAGTTGCAGGTATTCTGTCAGAAACAACAGAAAACAAACAGATACAGTATGAAAAAAAAGGTACATGAGAATTGAAGACACAAGCACAACTGAGAATGTTAAGAAAGCAAATAAGAAAAATAAATGTCAAACAAGAGAAATGTAGGAATTAGATTTGGGGTACATACAAAACAGATTCAGCAAAATAAATTATTGCAATGTACATGGGACACCGCACCTTGGAGATTATGCAATACAGGATTGCAGATGAACTATCCTCAAGTCTGGGACTTGGGGGGGGACAATAGCTAGAAACAGCTGAACACTGCCAACACATCTAATGAGCTTTACTTTTCTTGGCTTCTGCACTGTATGCGCTGACAAATCTTGCAGGATCTGGTTTGGGCACTGTTCTATTGTCCATGGCTCTGCTCCTTCTAACCTGACAATCACCTCAGCTTTGTTAATACAGTGTTCTATTAATGGGAAGTAATGTAGGACTTTGTACAACTGCTAAGTCTGATCCTTGGAAGAATGGCAAAAGCTCAGCTTCAGACATTGTGCAAAAAAGAGGCCAATTTGAACCTTGTGAGAGCACATTTTCAAAAAATGTAATCTTACCAAAATAGTGTGAAACCCTATAAATGGTACCTATATTTATGAACAAAAAAGAAACTGTTTCTCCTGAAAGTTACTGGAGAGTTTTACTCACTCAGTGACACCAGGTTGCTGTAGGTCTCCAACATCACATCCCTATACAAATTCCTCTGAGCATCATTTAGGTCCTGCCACTCCTCCCAGGTGAAGTCCACAGCCACATCTTCAAATGATACCACCTCCTGGAATGACACATTTTTCTCAAGTCAACATTCCTGGGTCACAAAAAAGAAATCTGGGAGTTCACACCTCTGTGTGTGCATGCATTATATGTGTCTTATATAAGATGACACTTTGTTGTACTCCACAGAATGGGAGGAAGAAAAATCAAAAGACAAATATCCTGGTAATGTAATAAGTTATCAATTAATAAAAATAATATTACAAAACTTAGTTTATACCTTAAGAAATATCCTTGTTGCTAGTGATAAAAGTGTGAATAAAATTTTTCTTTCCCAAGGAGAGTATAAACAGGCATAAAGACATAAGTATAAATACATACCTGAAATACTGTGTTAGATGAACAAATTTAAACACAAGTTCAATATAGCTGGGCATGAGAAATAAATAGAAAATATAGTTTTATTTTGTATTCACTTTGCACTTCACTGGAATGCCAAAGGAGTTAAACTCTTCCATGTGAATTGCATGGTCTCATGAATATGAGGCAACAGCAAAAGTCCAGTCACAAGAACACAAGGAACACACTCCACATTAATGGAACCACCCACAGCACCATGTCTGAGTGAATGATCTTGGGTGGCATAAGAGATAAACAATATTGAAGCAACCAATTACAGAATGGTTTTGCACTTAAACATGTGACCTATTTCATACACTAAAACTTTTTTTGTAGTTATTGTTGCTTTTTTACCTTCTTATGAATTAAAAGTACATTAAAAAGGCATTCCAAAATTTCCTTCCCATTTGCCAAAGGATTGCTTGTGTCCACACCAGGGTGTACACTGCAACTTTCTAAACCACAGGGAGCAAACAATGTGATCCTGTAAGTACATAACTTTATTTGAGTTTTAATAGTCACCTACTACAAGAAGAATGGAAAAGGCTTTTAGGGAGAGCCAGAGGGAAAAAGAAAACAGGGTGACAGAAGACCAACTACATTACAACACAGAGAAATAAGCACACAGAAGAGAAACTTAGCACTATAAAAAAAGAAATAGGGAATGAAAAAGCAGAAACAGAATGTGGTAGTAAGTTGCTGTGCAGAAATTTTAAAAAAGAGTTTTACTCTCAGGCTATCTATGTAAGCACAGCTAGTTAGGTCCTGGAACTGCAAAGCAGTTTGAAAAATGGGAGAAAAATATAAAGAGCAAAAGTGAAACAGACTTGAATACATACTACTTGAAATATCTGTGGAAATGTCCATGTGGCAATTGGACATATGATTTCAGTGTTCAAGAGAGAAAGTTAAGCTGACAACAAAGATTTGAAAAGTATCAAAATTTCCATGTTATCTGAAGAATCAGAGTGAATGAACCTCAGAGGTTGAAAGTAAAAAAAGAACAAGTACAGAATCTGCAGAAACACTTCATCTTTAAACACAGGACAAAGGGAAAAGAAAAAGTGGGATTGCATCATAATATAGGAGTTAGTTCTCCCAGAGGACAATTCTTAATGTGTATGTGCCTCACAAGCAATCATCAAACTTTGTGACACCAAACCTAACAGAACTTCTAGGAGAAACAGAAGAACCAACCATCAAAACTGGAGATTTCTACACCCTCTATCAAAAATGAACCAATTCAGCAGACAGAAAACCATAAAAGACATAGTTAAACTCAATAACATGATCTGGATATAATGGATATCTACAGAATACTTCTTCCAACAACAATACAATAGACATTCTTCTCAAACTCACATAAACAAAGCCACTAAGACCATATTCAGATTCACATAACACATTTTAAGAAAATTAACATAATAGAAATCATACAATATGTGCCCCCAGACCACAAAAGAATTAAACTAGAAATCAGTAACAGAGCAATGACTACAAGATCCCCAAATACAGTGGGATTAAACAACACACTCTAATACACAGGTTAAAAAAAACAAACAAACAAAAGAAAAACCAAGAAAAATTAAAAATATTTTTGATAAATGAAAGTGAAAATGGGGCTGACCAGTTAGCTCACTTGGTTAGAGCACAGCCTTGTAATGCCAAGGTCAAGGATTTTTGATTCCCATACTGGCCAGCCACCAGATAAAAAAAGAGAGAGAAAATGACACCAAAATTTGTAAGATACAGGAATAACAGTGTTCTCAAAAATTTTTATGGCACTGAATGCATACTTTAAAAAAAAACACATCTAAAATCAATAATCTACATTTCCACCTTTGGAAACTAGGGGGAAAAAAGAGCTAATTAAATTGAAAGGAAGCAGAAGATAAAAACTAGAATAGAAATAAAATTGAAAAAGAAAATCTAGAGAAAAAATAAACATCTGAAAAGTTGATTCTTTAAAAAGATCAATAAATTTGATAAGCCTATAGCCACGCTAACTAAAAAGATAATGAACAGAAGACAGAAATTACTATTATCAGAAATGAATGACATGACATCAATACAGATCCTGTGGACATTAAACAAATAATAAATACTATGAACAACTCTGCACACTTGACACCCTACATTAAATGGACCAATTCCTTAAAAGACACAGTTTACCGAACTCACACACACACAAAAATACACAATGAGAATAGGCCTGTATCTGTTATGAAAATTGAGTAAACAAATAATGACATTCAAAACAGAAAGCCCCTGGCCCAGATGTGTTCACAGGAGAACTGAAGCCAACATTTAAGGAAGAAAATCTACCACCTTCCTATACTCTATTGCAGAAAACAGATGAAGTACTTCCCAGTTCATTGTATGAGGACAGGATTACCTCATGCCAAAATCAGACAGAGATATTATGAGAACGGAAAACTACAAACTGTTATCTCTCACAAACATACATGCAAATAAGCTCAATAAAATGTCAGCAAACCTAATCCAACAATGTCCAAAGAGAATTATGCACCATGACCAAGTGGTATTTATCCCAGGTAGGCAAGGGTGGGTCAACATATGAACATTAATTAATGTAATCAATGACATCAAAACACTAACAAGAAAAAACAAAAAAATCACATAACCACATCAATCAATGCAGAAAAAGCATTTGAAAAAATAAAGCATCCATTCATCATAAAAATTCTCAGTAAACTAGGAACAGAGGGGAATATCAAAACTCAATAAAGATTCTTTACAGGAAACTACACCTAACATCATCCTTAATGGTGAGTAACTCAAAGCTTTCCCAGATAATCAGGAACAAAGCAAGAACGTATCCTCTCATCACTTCTTCAACATCATACTAAAAGTACTTGGTAGTGCAATAACACAAGGAAATACAAGATTTACAGATTGGGAAATAAATAAAATTGTCATTAGTTGCAGATGATATGATTATCTGTGTAAAATATCCTAGCAAGTAAATAGAAAACTTCCTGGAATTAATTACTGATTACACCAAGATTGCAGGATACAACATTAATATACAAAAGTCAATCACTTTTCTATACCCCAGCAATGACCAAGTAAAATCTAAAACAAAAAACACAGTATTATTTACATTAGCAACTCAAAAAAGAGAAACTTGAAAATCATCTACCTCATAAGAAATTAACATCAAGAATACATTTTAAAAGTGCCTACAACAACAAAACAAAAATCTGATTAAAAAATAAGCAAAGAGCTTCAACAGACATTTCTACGAAGATGATATACCAATGTCTAACAAGCTCATGGAAAGATGCTTAACATCATTAATCACTAGAGTAATGCAAAACCACAATGAAATATCATTTCACACCTAATAGAAAATAACAAGTATTGGCAAAATTGGAAACTCTGTACGCTTTATGTGTGTATATAAAGTGATGCAGCCCCTATTAAAAAAAATAGTACAGTGACATCTCAAAAAATTAAAAATAGAACATAAGATTCATAAATCCAAGTTTTGTGTATATATCCAAAATAATTAATAGCAGAATCTCAAAAAGATATTTCCACACCTGTGTTCACAGCTGCATTACTCACAGAGTTAAGAGGTGAAAGCGACCGAAATGTTCAGCCATGAATGAATGGATAGAATGTGGTATATACATACAAAGAAATAATATCCAACCTTAAGAAGAAAGGTAATCTTGACATATGCTATAACATGGAACCCTGAGGAGATTACGCAAAGTGAAATACGACACTCACAAAATGACAAGTATTGTATGGTCCCACTGATAAGAGTCAAATTTTTAGAAACACAAAGTAGAATGGTAGTTGCCAGAGGCTGGGAAAATTGGGAGTTGCCATTTAATGGATATAGAGTTTCAACTTTCCAAGATAAAAAAACTTGTGGATATCTCCTGCACAACAGTGTCAATATACTTAAAACCACATAAAGGTTAAGAAATGATTCAAATGGTAAATTGTATGCTATACGCTTTTTGCCAAAATTAAATTATTTTAAAAGCCAATAGATGAACCAAAATAAGATACTGTTTAATAATTAAATAATTGATAAAAAGTTAGAAAATAAAAAGCAGAGGATTAAAAGGCAGATGAGGCAAATACAAATAGAAAATAGCAAAATGGCACACTTAACAATGGCACACTTAGTTTAAGTGGAATTGCAATAAATATTCTACTTAAGGCAAAGACTTAGATTTGATAGGAGTAAGACCCAACAATATGTTGCCCAGAGAACTACACTTGAAATACAAAGAAACAGACTAAAAGTAAAATAGTGAAAACATATCTACCATAGCAACACAAATTGTGAAAAGCTTAAGTGGAAATATTGATACCAGCAAAACAATCTTCAAGACAAATTATATTACTAGAAATAAATGGAACACTGAAGGATGTGGGCCACACTACCACCTCCCGTAACATGGAAAATGGAAACGGTATCTCACCATCTCGGAGTGTGCCAAAAGAGACTTTTGGGCACAAAAGGAAAAGTGCTAACTGGCCCCCTGTCTCTCTCAGTGAGAAAATAAAAGAAGGATGTTCAATTTTCAAACTGAATTTAGAGAAAATATGAAGGAGCTAGAACTTGCTGAGTTTGAAATAAAATTATTTTTCCATCCATTTTTCCAAAAAAAATATTTA